TTCTCGTAATATTACGACTTTATTATTTTAATTTCCCCCCAAAATTGTTTTACTCAGTCGTAACCTTTCAATTCAACATTGTTAAAATAAAAGGAGTAAAACCAGTTCATAATTCAATTACGTTACAGTCCGCCTCCACACGGGTTGCTAGGGGTGACAGTCGGGAGGGAGGAGGAGGAGGGAGGAGGGAGGAGGAGGGAACAGCGCACGGCAACGGTTTTCACGACACTCCTACGCCATTTCCGGCACAAACACATGAGAGCCAGAGCGACGAAAACATGAGAGGTCAAAAGTTATGGTCCTGATTTTTAACAGACACGGAACGTAACACACAGACATGGTGGGTCGCAGCGGTTGTGCACTAAGTGTTAGGACAGTCTGAACGTGGCTGCGTGATCGGGAGTCAGCCGAAAAACCTCGATATCGATCATTGGAAACGTGCTAAGCTATGGTTAGCTTTTGCTGGTGCATGACCCAACACGACGTCACTAAACGCAGCTGACGTTTTCATTCACCGCTTTCATTTAAAGTAACGCAACATAACGTTACTGTACTCGGGCTCCAGCATGTGCCACGTGTTGGTTCTGCTATTTGTTTACGTTTGCAGCCGTAGAACATGTTTGTTTGTGGTTGTTTATGGTTGTTTGTTTGTGTCTGCAGGCCAGTTCCATGGTGGCAGTGGGGCTGGCTCTGGCAGCAGCTGGATTTGCAGGTGAGTCACTATAAAAGCTCAGTAAGTTGGTGGATAAGTGGAAAGTCACCTTGACACAGTTCAGAGTTACTCATTCATTTGTATTAATCTGCAATACAGTTTATACACTGTATGCTGTTGGTTGTTGCTTCTTATATATTTACTTTATATAGGCCTACACATTGTCACCCAGTAGATGATAGCTATGTTTAGTTTTACCTCTTTGTTGTCCTTTATTCTAGCTGTATCTGTTTCTTTTTGTGTGAGAGCAACTTCAAACCTGAGTCAGATCCCATGTTGTCTGTGTGCACATACTTTACCAATGAAGCTGATTCTGGTTCTGAAGTTGACTGATGTCTCAAGTAAAGTGCAGTTTATATAAGACACCTCTCATTTGTGAAACTACTAATAAAGGATGGGCAATAATTCAGTGTAATCGTATATTATTTTCTGTAAAAACATATTGTGGTAATGTCACATTTCAAAGCAAATTGTAATTCCAGAATATTGAGTTTATGTAGAGTATCTTAGCTCAGGTTTGTGTGTAAATTTGCCGTATAATGATATAAATACTGGTAAAAATATTCTTAATAATGTTAATATATTAATTTTTATTCTGCCTACTAAACATACAATCAATATTAGTGTTTAAATTAAAAAATAAAAGTACAATTCCACAAATATTTGTATCAGATAACATAGATATTTCATGTTTGCTCCTCTTCTTCGTCTCCCAGGTCGCTATGCCATGCAGGCCATTAAACAGATGGAGCCTCAGATGAAACAGGCCCTTCAGAGCTTCCCCAAGACGGTAAGAAGGAAAACATGACACAGCACATTTATCTCCAAATGAAAGTAAGTGTGCTAGATACTGTACCTCTCACGCTTTCGCTTTATTTTTAATGAATGTTTTTGCTACTAAGGATCCGTTAGCAGACCCGTCGTGACGAGCTGGTAACTGTATATGTTGTTGCAGGCTTTTGGAGGAGGGTACTATAAAGGCGGCTTTGAACCAAAGATGAACAAGAGAGAAGCTTGCCTGATTTTGGGTGTCAGGTATGTGAACCCTCACTGGGCCACCATTTCAACAGTTACATGTTACGGTACATCTACGGTCACATTTAGGCCATTGTACGTTACAGCCAAGAATTTACTAACCAGTACTGTTTGCACTGATTATTATGATGATAATTAACTGTTGTATGCACCATTGTTCTGTCTTTCAGCCCCACTGCCAACAGGATTAAGATCCGAGAAGCCCACAGGAAACTGATGACCCTGAACCATCCAGACAGAGGTAAGTAGGGCCCCATTGGTTTATATAGATTCATGTTAGACACTGTACGTTACAGTAGTGTGATATAAAATATAATAGTGCTGAACAGACTGAGTAACTAAACATTGTATCTAGAGTTCACTGCATTAATCTGTTTGCTCCAGGTGTTAACTTGGAAAAAAAAGCAATGGACCAACAATAAATGTAATGGTTTGACTTTTGAACAGGTTTTACAGTTCTAAAGGAACTCAGAGCACAGTAAAATCTCCTGAAGGTAAACTATAATATGACTGTGTGTGTGTGTGACAGGTGGATCTCCCTACATAGCAGCGAAGATAAATGAAGCGAAGGATTTGATGGACGACCAGACAAAGAAATAGAAGATGCTGGCGATGACCTAAATGTGATTCCAGGCTGATCTTCTTCATACTGTTGCACTGACTTGAGCAATTACCAGACTTTTCTAACGGATTGTTCTCAAATAAAATCACTCTGGAAAATTGTTAATTGGATTCTCCCTCGTTATTATTTTGTATTTTAGATTTACGTTTTGTACTTCTCTTACTTGCTTTTCCACAAAACAGGAACTTCAAATTTAATGGCGTATTTCTTTTTGTGCGAGAGACAGACACAGTTGGGTTTCAGATCTACATGGAAGATCAAGTTTATTTAAGAACTACCTGCATACAAAACATATTGCACATCAACCAACCAGAACGATCCTTTAAAAAAAAAAGAAAAACATACTGTAGTTGACCCAGCAAAAACACTTGGGATGTCACAACTCTCAGTAGTCCAAATTGTGATTTGTCTTAAAAGAAAACCCTAGATAACGCATGTTTTAGTGTCAAGAAAAAGAAGAGCTTCTCTTGTTTTTGTGTGTTTTTGTTTGTTTTTTTAAATACTGTACATTTTTTAAATAAATAAACCAAATAAATCTCCTTCCGTAGTGGAACAGTCGTGACCAGTTTCCAGCCAGTCTGTGGAAGAACCATGAAAATGACATCATTGTCACCTGGGCTTGGTTTTCCAGAAACATCTCAACACCAGGGTAGTCTGGTTCTTACTGCTCAATACAGGATTTTTGCAATAGTGGGCATGTAAAGTGGGATAGTAGCTGTTATAGACACAGCAAACATCCTTTGAGTCTCTTGATTTAATTGGATTTCTGGGAGGAAACGGTACTCTGTATCCGTCTTGTCATATTTGATGAAACTGCCCGATGTTTTGCAATGAGATGTTTCCAGGAAACCCAGCATTGATGGCTACATCTCTGTCCAGCAAAAAAAAAACAGCAACAGGCCAGTTTCCAGACTCAACTACAATCAACTTTTTAAACAGAAAAAGTTTATGTTTCAGTGCAAAGAAAAAACAACTCTTCTATTGTTTGTTTCTTTTCCAGACACGCTGTAATAACATTTCTTCTATGACTTAAGTGGTTGCATATTGAAAAACAGAAAGCAGCTAATGTCAAACTCCTCAACAGATATATATAAAGGATAACTTGACTCAATTTCCCCACAAACATTAAGAATTAACACACCTGATTTTAAAAAGATATGCCTCTGAAATCCTTTCAAGGTCTTTCAGTGTTTGCCTCTACCCGTCTACAGTGCCATAAGGGAACATATAGACCAAGGAGACAACTCATCTGGTTCCTCTGTGGCAGGCGAGCGTGACCAACTAACACAGAATTGAGTGAAAAGATTTCAGATGGTGCGCAGAGCCAGGCAACAACATGTTGAATCTACTCTCAAGGCACAACAGCTGATCACATGTATGTCAAACATACTTGGGTTTTCCAACAAACCTATCTGCACTGTGGTACTGCTCATGCAGAATGTTTAATTTACAAACTACTTCAGATGCACAAAACATCCTGTGGAAGCATCTTTTTGAGTCCACCTGGCAAAAGGCAGACTTTTTTTTTTTTTTCTAAAACCCTGCAATGATATTTTTTTTACCAATAATTAAAAAAAAGAACCGCTGCATTCATACCACAGTATGTGTTTGAGTGGAATCCCTGTCTGCATTTTATAAATACTGCATCCAGTCCAGCCTCTTCCTGAGCTCTCAATGAAGAGTGGACTGAAAAGTACAGTTAAGTAGATGTCTGTCAGTGTGTGTGTGTGTGTGTTTGACTGTCTTTGGCAAGCTCATACAGGAAGAACTATCGTACAAAAACTGTAGTAAAATGAATAGTTGGACAGAACACGAGTGTAAAGGGGAGGTTAAGGGTCAGACCTCTAAAACTTGCGCAGTGGAACAGGTTTCAAATATTTGTAATGTAAAAAAAGAACAGTGCTTGTTGTATTTATATGTTTAAGGCTGCTCCATAGACAGGGAGATTCAATCAAATGCAGCCAAAGAATTGAAAATATTTGAAACCATTTCCTTTGCTCAGGTCTCACTAGGAGAGTCCGTTAACAACAGGTTGCGGGTTAGAGTCCCCCTTGTAGGAGACTTTGGCGGGCCTCTCTGTGGAAGACCTGGGAGCTCTGCTGCTCTCGCTGTCGGCAGCACTGTTGTTGGAACCATTGGTGGTTGCCGGAGCAGACGGCGGGCTGTGCTCAGCGATGGCATCCACCTGACCCTGGACAGAAATGTGGGACAAACAAATAATGAACTTGTAATGTATTCAAACTAATTCACCCAAAACATCACAGAGCTGCATTTACATTCAGAAGTAAATAAATGCAGGTTTAAATTGTGAGGTTTGTGTTAGTCAAGCATCAGGAGCAGACAGAACTTAAAGAGCAAGAGGAAAGAGACTTTATAAAAGGTTAACTGTGGTCTAACTAACTACTAACTAACCACATCCTTGTTTTTCTTGGTGTCCTTGGTGGTCTGTCTGCTCTGAGATTCAGCCCTGGATATGTAGTCCGCCACCGTCACTGTACAGACAAGACAACAAAGAAAAGAAAAACAGTGGTTACGACATTGTCTGTTTTCTTTAAATAACAGAAGCCGAAATGCTAACTCTGTCTGGACCCCGTCTGGCAGTATGAAAAGAGCCTTTTTAACACTCAGACTCCTCAAAGAGCACTCCGTTTTGCAGTTTACGTTCACCGTGTACACTTGACATCCAACACAACATCACAGAGCAGTTATAGGTCAGGCTTACAATAACACACCACACACACCAGGACTGCCTTTAGTGTAACAGCCTGACAACATGAAAAAACAAACAAGCTGTCACCTAGTTGTTAGTAAACAAGTATTGCGCCTGTGAAAAGTGCATGGCACGGCAAACCAGTGTGGACAGTGTAGTCAGTCAACATCCTATCATTTAGAAAAAGCCAATGAGGCAAGCAACACTCACTTACCATACTGAAGAGACCTGAACGATTCTAAGAACTGTGTGGTTTAGTATGTAGTTGGTGGCACGCAAACAACCAGGCCTGGAGCACAACCTTTTTAGCCAAGCCATTAGGAGCACTTTTCAGGGCAGGGGATACTGGCAGTTGCCTTAGTTACCTGGCTGCCTCTCCTCAGGCAGGCGGATGCGGCGACGTCGACTACGATTACGGCGCTGAGGTTTAGCTTCGGGGTCATCTAGGGGTGTTTGGTCATCACAAAGACAGGGATTGGGGGCTTAAATTGCCTTTAAACCAGAGACCTGTACTTATGCTGCACAGGCTCCTTTTACATTTAAAATGGGAAATAATGCACTGCTGTACACTCTGGACCACTGACAGCTAAAAACAGCACTGTTACCTCTATGACAGGCTTTCTTCCTAAGATGTTAAAAGCACTGACTGAGTTTGTATGTTTATGAAGCAGTCCTGTAAAATGATCTTGACTTCCCTACCTATTCCATTTTCACTCATTGAGGCGTTGTCTGACTCGCTCATGCCATCCATCAGTGTAGCGTCCTCGTCTGTTCTGCGTCGTCGAGATCTTCTGCGGCGGTTTGCAGGCAAGTTGGACTCACTAGCATCTGTATCGGCTGTCTGGTCTGTCTCTGTGTTTGTCTCCACGGCTCCATAGGCATGGTGATCCTCGTGGTCCCGAGGCCCTGCTGCAGGTATGTCAGGTTCACAGGAAATAGGTTATACTTACAGTCAAACTACCAAATGACAAGACTTTTACAAGAGAAAGGTATTTTTATATCTCTCTTTATATCCCCTAAGAGTGAATTTTACCAAAGCTGTTGCTGTATCCTCCTCTTCCGCCTCTTCCCCGTCCGCCAGTCCCTCCTCGGCCTCTGCCGGGTCCAGGCCTCCTGCGACCATCTCTTTGAGGTCGTTGGCCTCTCTCCCTCTCCCTGCAAGTCAGTCAATCAGAACAAAAACAAGAAATCATGCACTAGAACTACAATAAAGATGGTAAAGAACAGCTGGCACCAAGTCAAATGCTATGTTTGTAGCCATAACACAGATTCCACTAAAAACTGAACCCAGCTACGCATTTTGTACATCTATAGGTTTTATAAATACAAAAAAACCCTCACCTGTCCTGGTCCTCTCCAGCAAGGGACCAGTCACTGAGCTCATCCCTGCGCTCTGAATCTGTCTCAGAGGCGTTGGACTGTTCTGAGTTGGTGCCTGTGACAATCAAGCAAACACACGAGAGGACAGAGAGACAGCCACACAGAAAGGTCAGGTCAATGTTAAAATACTGGGATACAGTTGGACTCTTTCAGTCTCATTTATTGCACAAAAGCTACATTCTTACACAGACAACCACATTATCCGGCAGCAAATAAGTTGATTTTTTAAGATGTAGTTGTAAAAGGTGCCTACCGTATCCAGTGCTGTAGCTGTGGCCTCTGCGCCCACGCCCTCGACCGTTGTAGGAGCGAGTGACGTGTAAAGAGGATGAGGAGGCATTGGCACTACCATCTGTATTATATCCTCCTCCTCCTCCTCTTTCCCCTCTGTCTCCTCTCTCTCTGTCAGCTGATCGGTGGCCCTGCGTGATCTGACGCAACTGTTCATCAATCTGCATCCTCTCCAGGCGAAGCTGCTCGACCTCCTGGAAAAGAAGGAGGGGAAATGGTAAGAATAAAGGGAAAGAAAGTAAGACAAAAGCAGAAGCAAAAAAAAAAAAAGAAAAAGAAAATGTTTGTGATTGTAATCTTTCAGAAAATCAAGAAAATCTCTGAGAGAAGGTTCATCACTGCATACACAGGCATCATCATCATCATCATCATACACACATCTACAACACATCCAGTGTGCCTCGTGTTGCTTATTCTGAATCTTGCTAGGCTGCTTCCCTGTGTATAATCCACAATCTGCCTCAGCTCTTCTTCTAGCTGCTGGCCCTCCGAAAGAAGCTCCACCATGTCCTACACACACACACACA